ATAATTATATAATTCAAAATAATATTATAATTAAATAATAATTTAGATAATGGTAATTCTCTCTCTAATAGCAACGACGTTTCACTAGTGATGTCATATTTAAAGAGATCTGAGTGATCCATGAACATTTCATACCCTTATACAAAGCAGTATGATGAAATTTCATTTCTTTAATTCTCTCCACTTTGGTGGATTGGATATGTCGAAAAATGATATGCTGTATTATCGCACGATATACTGACCCCGCAAACATAGTAAGAAGAATCGATGCAATGGACAGTAAGGTAATCGACATTAAACGGAGATTTGTGTCGCTGCTTGCGATGGTCTGAGCGGAAAATCGATCCGGACCCTTGTTTGCCCGTTAACGCCGGACGTAACATTAAATGCAGATGCAAAGTTCACAGTGGCGTTTACTGACAATGTAGGTATGTATATCGATGACGGCCATGCAGCCCGTAAATCACACAGCTATTACGGTAGTCCATGTTCGATCGCCGAGCGTGTAATATGCGGGGAGATAATAACCGTGAATGACTTTATATTAACCCGGCAACAATGACTTGGGGTCTCCCCTTTTACGGTGAAAACTTCCACGATGTGTGACACGATTCCTCACATCCAAAATTCGATATTATACGCTCGGTGGCATTTTGCCTGACATTCCTGCGGAACATACTTGTTACTACAAATTAAATACTGATTTTGTTTAACTTATTATTGTTAAATAATATTGTTCAAAATGCATAAGACACTCGCACAAAGTTATCTATTTTTTTATTTCCGATTAGATTTTCGAATTACTTCAGCAGATTTTCATAAGAAACCGATAATACAATTTAACGTATTATTAACTGTTCATTAGTTTATTATCGCCACTTCATATAAGAACAGGAATCATTTAGAATGGATAATCGCAGCATATGGCATATCTAATAAACGATTGTAAAGTGCTTGGAATCAGCATTAATCATAAAAATAGACAAAATATAGTATCAGATATTTATGTGGACAGTTTTCTTTCCAAAACCCCTTTAGCCTTCCTAATTCCTTCTGTCTCTAATGACTCTAAATATAAATAATCTGCGATTATATATATATATATATATATATATTCTCATATTTAAACATTCTAACATAATGAGTGTTCTTACAGTTCTGTTTAGACAGTTCAAAAATCTACAAAAAAAATTTCTTTTAAAAAATCTTCTTTTAAAGAAAAAGAAATATCTGCATCAAATTTCACCAAGACTCTGTTTTCAAAATATTATTGGGAGTAACGCTGAAGTACCTGATTCACCAGAGTACTTTAAATTCTACTACGATACACGAGACGCGTCGCGCGATTCCAAAGTATCACGAGAATTCGACGTAAAAGTTCGAACGTCGATAAGCACAGCAAAGAAGCCCGTTGACGAAAAATCCGTCACTGTTCAAGAGAGAAAATCAGAACAAACGTGTCTATGCATATGTAGATGCGGCCATATCTGCAATGCAGATCTGCGCGGCATCGGCGAGTCGACCTTCGTGAAACTGAATGATCTGAAACTTTGCAATTCTGCATGAAACAATTCAAAAAATTACAAAATAAACTAAAATTGAAAGCAGAAAATAACAGAAAATAGATCAAGAGAGTTTTTTCTACAATAAACTGTTTACTTAAGTTTTAAATCTTAAATCGTAAGAAATTAACCAAACACTGCAGTTGAATGTGAAAAGAATAATCGATTATGATTGGTCAATTTTTTATAGCTTTTTTAAGACTTAAAGTTCAAGTAATGACTTATTGTAGAAAGCCTATATCAGATAAAACAAAGATATATTAATCTCTTATAGAGAGATTTGACAATTATATTTGTTTAATTTTTAATATAGCCATAACCTTCCACGTCATAGACATTTTTTCCAAAAAAAATATATCTTTCATTATCCATAATTTTTAAACGGTCAAGCTGGATCTTTAAAACTTTTCTGTAATGTTACTGCTCTTCTTATTCGTTGTCTACTTTTTTACATATTAAGTGTGTGAAACATCAGGACTAAGAAATTAACGATAAATTCTTAGGGCTAAGTTTTCATGATAAAAGGCAAAATAATAAATAACAATATCAAATCTTGTTGGTCCGTGAGAGTTTAAATTAAATATCGATGACAACATGCCGTAACGGTCAAGTTGGATCTTGAATGCTACTAATTTATAATTTCGTGTAAATTTATATACTACGTATATAAATTCTTCAATGCGCGCCGAAATTTTTTCAGACTTACAACGCAAACTCTAATAAACTACTGCAATATATTATCACGAGTTAAATTGACTAATAATCTAACAATTTTGATGCTTATAGCATCTTGGATTTTAATAATGTTGAATGACATATTAAAATCTATGAATGACATATTAAAAATCTGTAAATAATTAATTTAAATTGCGAAAAATATTACCTTGACCGGAAGTCGAACTCGGATCTCTGGCATTCCGTGCCAGACAACAAACAATAAATAACATTAAGCAAACGAAATACTCTCTCAAAAGACAAATACTCATATAACAAATAATGTAAAATATACATCAATAAGCTACTAATTTTTCTGTAATATTTGATTTAAAAAATTTAATTTCTTAATTCTCAGGAAATTACATCTCGAAAATATCTTGCTCGACAGTACAATTTCGCGAGTAGAGTGAATTATATCGTTCACTTTATAACTGCGACGTAAATCCTTTTTACTTACAACATGGTGCATTTTTGCGAAATCGAGCGAGAAGATTTAAGGGAGCGCAGCTGACTTCTCCCTTCGGATAAGCGCAACTCCATCTCTCTTCTTGAGATCGATCTGGACGAATCGTCCATGTCTCTTTAAATCGTCACAAGTATGTCAGCATGAGCGAAGTAGACGCATATAAGTACACGTGCGAGAATAAATCGTTCATTCGCACAAGAGAGATTTAAAAGATCATTCTCTCGCCTCGGAATAAATTTCACTCACACATTCCTCAGCGAGTTCTTCTAAAAATATCGCACAGCAGATGATATTCTGCGTGAGAGAATACAAGTGATGATAGACGCAGCGTCTCGAGGGAAGATATTCGAAGCAGTGATTTTGTCTTTTCTTCTTTCCCTATTTTTCGAGACGAATTCGGCCAGAATTCTTTTTATGGATCGATCGATACGCTGCCGAAATGTCGACGCTAAAAATGGTAATCGTGTCACAGGAACAAAGCGAGTGTATGAAAATGATCGTTCTTATTTCATTGTGATAAGAGTACTTTTAAAAAGTTCTAAAAAAGTTGATTTTTTTCAATGCTCATAAAAGAGAAAATTAAATAATTTATAGTAATAATAATCATTATGGCAGAGTCAATTTCATTTTTAAAAAAATGTGACGTTAATTATATTATAAATAAATCTATAATTTTCAAAAGTCTACTTGTTTTATTTGAAATTAACGTTACAAAGAAATTTATTTTGTACTATGACATTTTAATAGCACACTAACAAAAGATTCTATATATTCATTTTTTTTAATCAAAAATACAATTCTTTAATTCTTTCTGAATTTTTTGAAATTACAATGCTTGAGGAAATAATCGCAACCGTAAAAAGTTCTTAATTTATCTTTATCGGAAGGGATAACTTGTTTTCTTTCTTTGACGACATCAGTTTGTGAGATGCTCGGTTAAATGGTCGTAACTGTGCCACGGGGACGAAGTTACAAGCTACACGTGGGTGAGAATAAATCGTCCGACTTCTGGAAACGACGACGCGAAACGAGCTAACGTGTCATCGACTGCGACCCGACTGGGAACTACCACTTCCTCCCTATAATGGAAGAAATATCTTCGAAACGTCGATATTGGGAAGACACGAAAATGGCAACGGGAGAGTTTCTCACCTACGAGAATGTCGATCGCGTAATTTATGCACTCCGTTCGTAGCCAGTCATCTCTGATATTGTTGCATAAAGATCAACACAGTGAGTTGCTTTTTACGTTTAATGTCGCTCTACTTTATTTCTCCGCTTTACGAAAAGATTTAGGAGGATATAAATCTTTTGTTAGTAGATACGTCACACAAAGTGACGTAGGCAACGAAACTTAAATATAAAAAAAAAACCAATTTCCAACATTGATAAAAAAATATTAAGTAATAATAAAAAAATAAGTTAATTGAATAATAAATTGATCAAGGATATTTCTTTTTCTCTACACAAATAAAATATATCATGCATGTCAGCATTATTTCGGCGCATTTCATAATAGAAGGCATTCTTTTTTTATTAATGTAATCCTACATAGTAGCAGTCACGCGATATAACGAAACAATGGAATAAAAACTCTGTTGCTCTGCCTCGTTCGCTACTTTGGTATAGAACGGCCTTGAGTTAGCAAAGCGAGCTTTTTGGTCCAAAGGCAACATCCAGAAGTATCGAAATCTATTGTACCAGAATAAAATGTATACACTTGACGGCGTGAATAGTGACGAGGCTATTTGTAGATGCGCATCATACGTATGTATGAAAAGAAAACGATAACATCTCAAGGGATATTCTGCTTGAAATTGTAATGCATATAATACGTATTGATATATAAGATTCAATAACTTATAACGCGATAAATATATTAAATTATTACAGAATCATGATGCGTTGATCTAAATATTATATAATCTCTTCAATCTTAATTAATCTGTTAAAAAATCCCTCCCTCTCATAAATTATTTCTATATAATTTGCCAGAAATAGTTCTTTTCTTGTAAATTATAGACTCAATTTGCCTTCTACTTTACACAACTTTTTAAACTTTAACATTTTCATTCAATATACCTTAATAACTAATTATAAGAAAGTTTTCATTTAAAATTATGTTAATATTTATTCTAAAATTAAAAGATGAGTAATGTTCTAATTTAGTTTCGGCTCAATTTGTAAACAGTCCTTCGAATCAGATTTTATATAAATTAGTAACATAATACAAATTTCTGAAACATTTTACTTACCCTTTGTGCCTTCCGTTTATCAGCACGTTGGTTTTGATGATATATTCTGCTAAAATTACTGACGATAACAGGTACCGGTAAAGCGATCACTAGGACACCGCTCAAGGAGCATACACCCCCGACGATTTTTCCCGCAATCGTTTTCGGAACCATGTCACCGTAGCTGAAACAAACAGAAAAATATTTGTTAAAACAACAGTTTCGTGACTTATACGAGATAACATTCCATAAACTTCGTAAAGTAGAAATAACTACCAAAATTAATACATGGTATACTAGATCTCAAATATTTTGTTATTCTCTCTTTTTCCAAGAAAAAGTTTAGAATTAAAAATTAAATTAGACAAAAATTGAATTCAAACTCAATTATGCGATGGTTTATCAGTTCTTTCTAAATTCTATAATTTAATGATTTAAAAAAAAATTTTTTTTTTTCAAATATAAGAATTCTAAATTTTATAGTATATAATTATATTATAAATTATTATATAATAAAACTTGCAGAAAAATCTAAAAAAATTCATGAAATCTGAGCACTCTAAAATGTACTTCAAGGTGCTAAAATATTATAGCTTCCACATATATTATATAATTTGCGCATCTTAACAGTTGAAAATTCTGATAATCTGTTTCTAATAAGCTGCTTAAACCTTCAAACTTATCGATACCAGAACTCCACATTTTCTATATAACATCCAGTATATTTCATATATCTCAAAGGTTTCTAAACTCGTAGGGTCATATCATTTCAAGATATATATAATTTCAAGCGAATGTCACGTTTTGCTCATCAGAAATTCATTCGTAAAGCATTGTTATGAGCACTGTTGGCAACGCAAAACAGTAGCGGCTTAGACAAACGATCCGGCCAAGTGTTCAGAAGACACGATGGAATTATACATTCCCGACGTTGTCGCCCAAGGGAGCACGCATCGCGACGAGGAAAACGAGAGAGCGATGGATAATTCACAACGTGCTTGAAGAATTCAGTCGTAAAAGATACATTCGTCCTCGTTTCTCAGCCGTGCAAATGTCCATCCGTAAAACTTTTCCGCAGCTATGTGGCTCGCTATGTAGTCGACCATTTCCCACAAGGTTTCCCAGTCCAATTCCATTACACATTTACTGTGTATCGAGTGACGCAAATATGTACGACCGTGCAAATATGTGCACACCCTCGGCTACCTATTTAACTTTCTTTCATGACAACGTGTGCTTAAACATTTGCGTATCGTTAGAGTTACAATGGCGGGAATTTTTTTTTATAATCCGCATTAGAACGTCTCACAAAAATTAATGATTTGTTAAAACAATTAAAAATGTCACAGATTTTTTTTTTTTTTTTTTTTTAGCAAATCTATAGTCATAATATACAACCACCAGTTTTCTATGGTAAAGTTATGGTAACAGCTGAATAAAATTAGTGATTATAAGTAATCATATACTTGCTATAATAACACAACAAATTTATTAATACAGCACAAAGATAACTTTCTATAAAAATCAATTAAATATACATATACGGATCAAAATTTTTAGCAAAACATTACCTAACACAAGCATGTATTTTTGCTGTTGTAACAAAGAAAATAAATAGAATATAAATACAAATATATATACTATAAAATAAATTTGTATAGAATTATAAAATACACTATAATTGTTGTGTTTGAAAGCGCGAAAAGAGTTGGGAAAGGATGCGCGGATTTCTAAGTTTACTTTATCAAAGAAACACGATTTGAATTTTCTTTCACTTTCACAAAAAATTTTGTTTATTACATTAACTCACAATAAAATAATACAAAGAAAAAAATCTATATAAAATTGAATTTAATATCACAGGCTTCTTTTACTTTTAAAATTACAACTATAATTTTATGCAAGAAGCTTGGTGAACTCGGCGGTTTCGATTATGCGGTTTGTACGGCGGCAATTATCTAAAAGATAAAAGTGGTCCCGTCCATTTCTGTCCGCATTTTTATAAATGCGGTGTGACAAAGCATCTCTCAGTTAATTACCGCTGGAGATTCAGTTGCGTTCAAAATTTAGAGGTGACTTCCCGGCGCTTACCGCGATTGGCTATTCACCAAGGGCATTTTATCAAGGGAACGAATCTTATTTGTCATGCGCGACCGACAATTTAAGAGCGCGATTGATTGTCATAAAATTATTTCCCTGACTCACCGCGTTTGCAAGCGCTCGCCGGTTGCCATAAGTCAAGTGCGGCCGTTTATAATAACATATTCCTGTATGCACAATATGGATCTTTTTCTAGACTAGCAACAAAGAGAAAAAAGGATTGTCAGAGGTTATTGCTACTTTTAAGAAGCCTCTAGGAGCCCATGTGGTGTGTGCACGAAAACAATTAATTTTAACAAAGGATTGCTAAAATCTAAGTAACGAAATAATAAGAGAATTAATCGCGCCATGAATCTCGTATTCTTGAACATGTTGTAATTTTTGGTCTTGCATAAAAATACATTTACACAATTAGAAGTAAAAAAAGTATTAACTTTTGTAAAAACGCACAATTTTTTATACGTATTTTCATTTTAAATTGTAATTGTAATTTTTACATATATACTATTTATGTCATTTTGCCTACTCTTTTTATAGCATCTAGGGTAGTCTTTGTATATTCAAAAAAATTCTAGAAGGGTAGGGAATGTCGGTACTCTTAATGCTTGCCACAATGATAAAATTGATATGAAAAGAGTGTCGTATTATTACGGGTGGAACCAGAAAGTACGTTATACTACGTACAATGGCGATCGTTTATTCTGCCGACATGCCTCACTCGAGAGATCAAAAGGAGATGCGCGTGAAAAAGAGAGAGCACTGATGGAGCTGGGGATAAAATGAAGTGTAATGGATCGCACTCGACAGCTGCAGATCGTTCCTTTTTCCAACGAATTTCTCGGGCCGCACGCAATTTCAGCTCGTGACTAAGGAACCAAGTGTAAAAGGAAACTCTGTTTTTTGCAAACGATGTGACACGATCATGAGTTCAAGAAAAAAAAAATGTTTTCTTAAAAATGATCGATTGTGCTCAATATCCTCTCCCCCTGCACAATATATATCGTAAAACTTGTTACTTATTATATTTTGAATTATTAACTAAGAAATATGTAAATCTAAAACATACTATATATAATAATGATTATTATATATAATATGTAAAAATATTACAAAATTGATATGTAATATTCTTTAATTATAAACAATAAACTGCACTTCAAACTAATTTAATTTTAGAATTTCAAACTTTAAAAAAGCAAAAGGCTTGAATTTAGTACTCATAAATTTTTAACTTAACATTAAACTTTATAATTTTTCTAGAATTTACATTTCGTAGTTTTTAACATTCTAGCAGAGAAGATAATTTTTAAACTCTTTAATAATTTTTTAATAAATAGTGACAGCTAATAATTGTTGAAGGTCACTCAAGATGATGACCTTGACAATATATGTCTAGGTCATTGACTTTTGAATGTGGGCTGACCTTACGTAAATATTTACCACAAGTACGTACCATTTAAAATCGATTTCGTTTGGTGTTTGATGTTCGTGCAAATTATCTAAAGTGTGATCAGCACAAGCCGAGTAATTGAAGCTTAATGTACACTACAAGGTTATAATTAATATTTAAACTCTTTTCGAGTACAGCATCAAATTAGCAATATATTTGTGGCAATAATATGTTACTGTTTGACAAATTTGTTAAAATAAAGAAAGTTGAGTAAATTGTAGTTATTTGTCGTTGCGCTTTATATTATACCTAGTTTTAAGATAAAATAACGTTTTAATTAAAATTTGCATAATATTTTGATATTTGTGTAAAAAAAAAATGTTTGTTTTAAGTCATTTTAAAATAATATTTAAAAGTACAATTTTTGGTACGATTTCGAAGTTTGGATTCGAGATTTGGATCGTTAAATTGTATCAATAATAGATTTTAGTAATAGATTGGACAAAAAAGATTCAGACTGCAAACGAAGGGAGGAAAAATATGATTGCAAACGGAGGGTATTTAATTTGGCGCTCTACTTGTTAATGCGCCTTTGTGTAGTGCACAACTTGCATGCTACCTACTTGCCCTGCTGACATACTTAAATTAAAATTATTTTTAAAAAATGACATTTCGTTATTTTTCTTTCTCTAGTAATAATAATAAAATAAAAACAAAGGAATATTAAATGTTTTTTATATTTCAAAGCATAATGTGAAAACTAAATTAAATAAGTACAGCTCATCTTTACTTAAATAATCTTCTTATACAATTAGTTCTATATTATTTTACCAATCACATTAATTAGTAATTTTGTAAACAATTTCTTCTTCTGTCACATAATATAAACAATATTTGTCTATCAAAAATATCCATAACTTTCATATGAAAATTGAATTATAATAAATAAATATGTTACCTACTTCTTTTTATTTAAATAATCTGCTAACACGATTAATTCTATTGTATATTGCTTAATCAATTGCATGCACATAATTTTATAAACAATCTCTTCTTCTATCGTATAACACAAACTACACCTGACTATCAAAAATAACCATACAAAAAAGAGTGAAAGTAAACCTGGAATTACAGGTCATGCGAACTTTCGCTCAAGCTCGGTTTTCCCGGTCGGCAATAATTTTCTCGCGTTCTATAGCTTGCCGGGCTCATTTCTCGACACTGATTTACGTGTCCCACGGACTTTTACAGCGACCATGAAACTTGTCCTAGCGGGATCTCATCCTATCATCTTTCGCGCACGTGATATGCTGCGTGTTATCGATCTTCCTCCTTTTTCTCGCACCTTTTATTTAATTAACAATTTTTCACGCCAGTTATTTATCGATCGAATAATTTTTTTTTCTTTACATGACTATCTTCCGTGGGGAGAATCTTCCACACGGGTAAATCTGTCTCTCAGTAAACAAGCCAAGTATAAACGATTAAAAATAATTAATGCATTAGTTGAGCCTAAGAATAAATGCTGTTTTCCAACAAAAAGATAATGTCAGATTGAAAATTCTAAGATGATGATGTAAAAAAATAATAATAATAAATATTACATATATTATATATTTACTAAAATTAAATTTTTAAAGGTGGTTCTGTAATAAATTGAGTTATTATAGAACTGTCTAATGTCTTTATACATG